TTTCTTTGGTTATGACTTCTTCTTTCGTTGAGCCACACATTCACCGGTAGTGCCACGTGTGCTATTAGCCATTGCATGCTCCTAACCTGACCCAGTCTAATAGATAGGATGCTAGACCAAGGTATATCAGGCATTAGGCTCCTGGAGACCCCCACTTTCTTCTCCCAGCGTTTGGTCAGAGAGTGACCTATGGATCTGGATCTGTTCCTCAGTCTGTACCCCGTTTTTGTAGTATATTGGAGAATATTGACTCTTCTAGCTACTCTTGATTGCCCATCTCTAATGTTCCAGGCCAATTCTCCAGGGTCTACCTCTAGGTCCTCTATAGGAACAGTTGAAATTGTATACTGTATACTCATCCATCTCTATTACTCTTACCTTCTGTAGCCCTTGTTTGAGTATATACAGTGGTGCTTTGGAAGATTTGTCCAGTTGGGAAGTGGTGCTGCTAGGCTGTATTATGTCGTATTTGTCAGCTACTAGCCATTCCTTTCTATCCTTGTCMGTGTCCCACACCCTGAAGACCTGTTTAGGTTCCRGATCATCTTCCCATGTGGCCCAATCTCCCTCTCGCCATTGCTTTCCCTCTCTCAGCAAGAGTACCCAGGATGGATGKATGGAGCSTGTGACTATTCTCAGGTTGTCATGAAGGTTGTGGCACCCTTTCAATGCYCTCCTCAGCTCCCTTGCTGTTTTCCAYCGGTTGTTTTCATCATCCCAGATATGTTTGATCTKCMATATTCCGTGTTCAACCCATMTGCCCCATCTCGAGTCCTTGCTAGTTAGTGTAAGGGGTTTTCCGCCGYCATCTCKARTGCTAATATTGCAGAATATCGGYTGTCTTAATACCTCCTCCCTTGAAGTAGGTTCCCTAACCCTCGCTGGGAAGATTTCCTTCCACAGCTGTATTAGTTGTAGCCAATAAGAGGGGTTTCTGGCCCTCCCACCTTGTGCGTCCCTGTTCTCCTTCCTATGGCCCACTTTAGCCCAGTTGCTACACATGATCCAGAACAGACCCGACATRTTGTTAGGTGTTTTATACTTARCTATCTGCCTGATCCTGTCCAGTACTAGAGAGGTCCATGATAACTTGRGTTGTGAGATTAGCTTGACCACCCATTTTGTTTGCAAGGCCTTCAACTGAAGACTWGGGTCTAGGATGYCCASGCCTCCTTGACCCTTGGCTCTGGTTACCGTTTTCCATGCCACCTTGGTTATGAAAMGTTCCGAGTTATGTTTCGCTGTCCACAAATAGGCTGCGGCCTTTCTCCTAAGGTGGGTCGATGTGGCCTTGGGGGGGGTCCAAATTGTCCCCGCGTACCACATCATGGAAAGAATTGATGCGTTCAGGATCAGTGCTCTTCCGTATATTGAGGTGTACACTGTC